TTTTTTTGTTTTTGTCAACGCAGCTTGATAAACAACATTTTTTGATTTCTGATCCGGTGCGTAAATGTACAGAGAAGATGGTTTTCCAACTCGTGAGCACCCAGGTATATCTGGCCGTTTAAAAAACATAGCATTTCCAAATTTATGCCACACACTATGCGACTATCCTGTTGATCGTCATCCCAAATTGAACTTTCACTGGAAACTGAATACGTTTGAACTTAAATGGCAAATCGTTAGAACTCAAAAGAAATTCGTAGAATCAAGCATTCTGCCCCTTATATTTGATACGTGCGTCACAATCAGATTGTAAAGCATCATAAGGACAGATCCACGCAAATGATGCAGTGGCATACCAAGCCTCTCCAAGAAATTTAGAAATTCCACTGTATAATTCACGGCGTCGTCTTCAGTGTCAATACGATCGATCGATTTGTATCACCGCAAGCCTCCCGGAATTTGACTTTGAATTATCAAGTTTAAGTCCATAACATAAGTATTTGTGGCAACTAACATTGAGTGCGCGTGCACTCAAGGAATCGTACTTACGATAATTTGGTCAATGTTCGTATAAACATTCGTGATGAGTCCATCTTTCGTGAATTGATAAACGGCATTTGGAATTTATATCAAACCACCGGAGGTATCAACCGGTGTTGACAAATTTCCAATTATTAGCATATGTGATGTAAAATGGCTTCGGCAATGTAATTTTTGGTCGTTTCCCATAATTGACGCGGATTTGAAGACTGATCATCGCGGAAAGTGTGCGAACTTCAGTGGCATTCGAAGTAGCTATCGCATCGTCCATTGTTGGATTCCAGTGATATCATGTTCCAGTAGTTGTAATTGCTGGCATACTTCTCAAAAAGTTTCACACATCGTACCAAGCATAGTATGCAATGACACAAATGAATTTGAACCGCATACATTAATCAATAGCAACCGAAGGTAGAAGCAATCGTCGTTTTTCAGATGGATTGTGTCAATTCGTTCTAAGGCATTAGTTGAAAACACACCTGGATGTCAATCTATGGTTGGCCTTGCTTTCTACATAAATATTTCTTCATCAAGGCAAGAGAGCAAGTTCTCGCAAACGGTTCACTGAAAGTTTAGAAAAATACTCGTAAATCTTAATTTTCTTGCTTGCGGTGTTTCCACTGGCTGTTCTGTATTCTCTGGGTTGAAATAGACTCTTTGGTCATTCTCCGAATTAACTGCAAGACGCAGTTCACGTATCGACTGTATCGTTCAAGACCAATGAACCATGTTTCTGTGGTGACGTATTTACAAACGTACTTTATCAATTACACCAAATAGCAATACGCAACATTGACATGACTTTTGAATGTGAATTAGACAACAGTGGCGAATATGGTACGATCCATGCGTTGTCAACTTCGATGTGTTGTTAACTTCGATATTCACGCCTCTAAATTGAATGCTAAATGTTCTGCCATTGTGAGCGACGCCGATATAGTGGATATTAGTCATTTCTAGTTTGTGTTTCCGAAAGAAAAGCACGTGGATAGTGTTTCGTGCATTTATTGTCAGACATACAAACCGAAGTGGAATTGTAGTGTCCGCAAGGTCCATGAACCAAATTGGTTTTCGTCACTTCGTATAATACTCCACATCATTTCATCAATTTGATCTGGTGGAACCACCATCCAAAGAAGAATGTCTCTAGCGTGCGGCAAACCTCTCTTTTGCCACTCAACAGAGTACATCTAGCATCTAACAGTACCACATATACGTTGCTTCAAGATAAAGTCCATCAAACATTGTAACTGTTGTTTGTAAAGTCGTGCTGTGACATCGTGACGATCGCTTGCTGATTGACCGCGATCCATAATTCCGCAYGYATGTCATCGCATCCTGGGAGTACTTCTTACCTTGCCTTGCCTTGGGCTGCCATACATTGATGGCAAAAAAAACGCCGACAGATATTAGAGCGATCTTTTCGTGGCTTCGTAATAAATTTCAATCTGTAATTGATCACTTTGTGTGAAACACACATCAATTTTTCACTGAATAATGTTCAAACATTTTTCTTTTGAAAAGCTGGAATAAAAAAGCAAGCGATTGAAATTGATGGATTCAAAAAATTTACAAATCAAAATATTGAGAAACAAAACAAACAAAAATTGAAAAAAAGGTACTTTTTGGAATTTTCCAATTTTCCGACTTTTCCTCACGAAAGGCATATTTTTTATATTTCCAAACCTTTCCCGATCCACAGAGAACAACCTCCGAAAATTTCATCAATGTTGATTCAGCCGTTCTCTTAGCGTTACTAACAATACAAACATTCATTCGTTTGTATGGGAAATAGGAAAGGACTGCTTTTAGGGGTTTTCCGGCAATTATTCAAGTTTTTCTTGCCGTAAAAAGCATCCTTGAACCTCAGCGATCATTTAGAAAAACGAATCGACTAAATTGGTTCAGACGTTGTTGAGTTTTGCGCTTAGCAACACATTTTGCGCGTCGCTTTTATGTATATATAAGATATAATTACACATTATCGGTGCATGTACTTATATGTAAAATTGAGTAATTTTCTCTATGAATACTACTAGCAATTCATATAAATAAGCCTTTATCTGTTATTGACATAAAATAATTCTAAAACGAATGTTGAACGAGCAACTTGGTGCACTTCGTCTTTGCTCGATTTCCCCGCGCTAAAAATCTACGAGTTTTTCCAAAAAACATTTTCGTGAGTAAACTCAGACATATTAAAATTCGACATTTCACTCACACTTTTTTTTATTGTTCGAACGATTTTTACTTAGGAATACTACCAATAATAAACTGTAAATACGACGAGTTATAAATATAGCCAGCAACAATGGAATACCAAACAACACAGTCATTGTATCCACACTATGACGTTGTAAGAAATTCAAGTGACGTGCAGCTACACGCAATTGTGGCGCACCCTTGTGTCTCAGCACATACTCAGTCCAATAGATTGCTGTATCGAGCGGGTTCATAGGTCGATCATGGAAGCTGGCAGAGATCTCTTGCGCTCTTTCGGTGTACTTGGGATTGTTCAACACCTCTAGGATGGCATCGCGCAGTTCGGCGCTGGTGAAATTTCGGAAGTTTATTGCAACACCGAAACCTTTATGTACGGCCTTTTCAACATTTAAATATTGATCGTAAAAGACTGGCATGCCCACAACTGGTTTAGCATGATGTACCGCTTCTATCAGGCTGTGCATRCCACCATGTGTAACGAAAAGTTTTACATTAGGATGGGCAAGTACGTCCGATTGTGGAAACCATTTGTTTATGAAAACATTCTTCGGTTTACCCGCCAGATCGGTCTTCTCAAATTTCCACAACACGTTCACGGGTAATGAGGCAAAGGCGTTCATAATCTCTTGCAATTTTTGTTTTGGCAAAAAAGCGCTCTTTATATTCGAACCGAGCGAGAAGTAAATGGTACCTCTAGACGAGGCATTAATAAAAGTTTCCATATCCGTTGGTAGTTTCTTCGGTTTGTGATCAATATGCATACCAGCCACCTCTATTGCATTCGGCACCAATGGACGCGGCCAACTGAATGAGTAATGTTGGTTGAGCAGCAAAAGAGAAAAGTCTCGACGTACATCTGTTAAGCGCAGTGTCGCATTGGGAAAATACTTTTCATACTGCCGTTGTTGTTCCGGTATTATAACTAAATGTGAATACAGAAGCTCCATGGTGTTAGTATATAAATTATCTAAGCGTTGCCAGAAATTCATACGATCCATATTTACGCCGCTAGGCGCTGGTACATATGCTAACGGCGAAACATTATCCACCAATTGGTCGATCACAATATCTGCGCCAAATGTGGAGACACCAATCATAGGTGCCTTGAAATGTTCGCCCAATGCGTAAAGTGAGTCTTGGCAAAACACTTCGATAATAATGAGATCGAAATGTTCATCAGAGCGCAATAATTGTTGGAATTCTTCGTTCTTAAGTACTGGCAATGAGCCCATTATTGCGTAATCGAACAGCATACGTAATTGGCTTAATTTAGTTTCAGACGAAGCTTCAATCGCTGTGATAATAAATTCTGAAAACAAAGATCATTATATAAGATTTTAATGAATATAATTAAAGGACAACGCACTAACCATCATGATCTTTGTATTCATCCTTCAACGTTATATCACGAAAGTTTTTTAAGGGTGTTTTTTGCGGAAACGCCGAAATCGAAGTGATTTCATGTCCGCGTGCCGCCAATGACTTCAAATAAAGTTGCACACATATATACTGCGAAGGACCCGTAAAGGGAAATATTGCGAGTATTTTTGCAGATTCCGTAAATCTTGGCACCAAAGCAAAAACCGCCAAAGCCAATATTATATATATGATTCGTCCCATCTGTACAACAAACTACATGAACTGCGTCAACCCAACTTTGTAATCGACTGAAGTAGCACTATCAAAAAAGCGTTTCTTTTATACGTTTTAGAAGACAAACTAACAGTGCAATAAGTTCGTTACTACTAAACGGTGGGTAATGATTCCCAAACGGAAAGCAAAATTTAACACACTTTTTGTTAAGCAGCCGGCCGCGCTAACATTATTTATGTAAAAAATCGGTTCAGTTTTCCAAATCAGTGGACCCCATAATGCGAGGCTTAAAGTCCGACAAGCCAAACTATCGTAGTCAAGATTAAATATTCATAACAGCGAAGACATATAGCCTAAATCCGTCTCTGTTACATCTCTCACATTATTCTCACTATCTATAATTTAGCGCGACCAAATGTGCATACTATGTATGTATATATAATAACACATATTATTCGTTGACGCTCTAATGTATGCTGCTAGTATATGTATAATATAATAATAACGCACTAATACTTTATATCCATCATGTAATTGTGTTGAGTTTAAAATGATTCAACAAATTTAATCGCGTCTGCTTGCGATACTTAATATAGTAATTAAATACAAAAAAAGGTCATAAAACAATTAAAATTTTAGTATGCATATAAGCAGATTTAGTAGTTAGCACAGTTAAGAACTTATTTTCTCCATGGAAAAATGTTGTCTCATTATATTCAATGTTCTTTTTGGAGAGTTTCTCTGTATGTTTGAGAGTTTCGTTAGATAATTTTTTTCTGAAAACGTACTTAAAAGATATGTATAACCGATATCTAGTTCAAACACTAGATTATTATTAAAGCCAATTTTTTTCTACCTACAATTAGACTCTTCTATTTTAATTGGTAGCATAATTAGAAAAAAAATATTACGAAAAACATGCAGAGTGAAAACAGCAAATTAGCAAGAGCGCACAATAAGTACAATGTCAATTAAAGCAAGAGTAACTTTGTACAAATCGTTGATACATATGTACATACCTATACGCTACCAACTATTAAGTGGACGATTTTTAATATAGCAGCCTACAAAAGTAATAATCCAATTCGCTGCGGTTTTGGTTTTCCTAAATTCGTTGCTTTATTTTTTTGTTGTGCCCTTTCGATTTTCACTTTGATCCACTACTTTTGGTAACTCCTTGCATTGTAGCTCTTCAATGCGGGTCAAAATAGCAGAACAACACTAAGTAGTCATTGATCTTTAATGGAATTCGTTTTTCAATTTGAGGGAAATGCCTTTACATTGAAATTGTTTCATTGTCAGATTATTTCTTATACCTATTTCAAAGAAAAAAGTAGAGGAATATTTTTGAGCACTCACTGTTTTTGCAACTGTAGTCCCTTCAAAGTATAACAAGACACATGTTGTTAATACAAGTATTGTTCAAAAATGAATATGTACGTTGATACCAAAGGACATTCAGTACGCATCAATATATTTAGTTTTATTATACCTAAGAATATTCAACATATTAGATAAGATATGAAACTGTGTAATTCTCACTATTTTAAAAGCACATACAGTCCACTAATATTGAATAATTACTATTTCCCTCGGCAATATGTTAAAATATCTTGAAATTGCCAATGCTGAGGCAGTACAAAGCAAATATGTACATAAACAAACGCAAAAGGATACCTACATTTATATGAGGCACTTATTGCATTTATATGCAATACGTATGCACTCAACAATTAACAAACAAATATATTTACTTAAGATAACTTATTGACCTAAGATATGTATTTAGGCAATTGAATACAAATGTGCATGTGCACTTGAAAACAACCCCATTCCATGTAGAATAAACAATTTACTATATACATATGAACATGCACACATATACATATATTAAGATAGTTCTTAAAATTGTATACAAATACTAGAAAACTCCAAATACAATCATCTATTATAGCAGGAATAGTGGAGAACGTAGAATCGTGGCCCGTGTCAGCTGATACGATGCATTTTATGGGCGCGCAACGTAAGTGCACAGTGAAAAACGCTACTCACTTCTCTCTTTGTCGTAGGATGACGTGAGAATTCAAATATCTATATACCGTAGTAATTATCAACTTTTATAGTTCAATCTGTTCAATATGTTTGAAATTTTCTTAAAATAACTCAAAATCAGAGTTGAATGCTATTATTTATAAATATGTAAACTATTTTTAATAGTTTGTTTTCAGTTTTGATATTTTTTATTACAAAAAATTGTAATTGAAAACATAAATGTGTACAAAACTATATATGCGTATTGAGCAATGGCAACATTGTTCAAATGAAAGCAAACAAAGAGGGCTGATTTCTGCGTTTTTGCCACGTTCGCAAGTGTTCACACATTTTGCTTGATGAAGAAGGAAAAATAAGGAAGGCAGTAGTGTTCTCCACTGTTCCTGCTATAAAATAGTTCTCGTAGAATGAAACACTTCTCGTACAATGTGATAGTTCTCACAGAACAAGACTTGACTATCATTTACAATATTTTGCCCCACCAGTAGTAAGAAATATTTGATAAAGCTTTTGTTTTTGTTATCTATATATATATATATTTGTTTTTCTTTATATTTAAACGTGTCACGTGTCACGTTGTTTGTCCGCGATGGACACCTAAACTACTGAAGCGATTTTAATAATGATTGCACAGCGTGTGCAATTTGATTAAACAGGAGAAAGACAGGATAGCTTACATCTCAATTTATAATATAATGGTAATCGAATAAGTATTCAACAGATGGCGCTATGTTAAAAATACAAACGTTTTATATAAGCTACAATTTAATAGTATAATCACTAATTATTTTAATACCATGTTCTGGCCGAAAATTGAAAGAATTAGATTACATTTAAGCCTAAGCTAATTAGTGAAGATTAGCCCGTTCTCACTGCCATTGGAAAGATGAAAACCCGTTGTTTTTGCCGTTCAAGAATTCACATCGCTCAATATTTATCAAAATAAAATATTGTCATTTAGTATTTTGTAATAAAAGCAGTATTCTTTTAAATATTTTCCATATATTGGAAATAATGGACGCTTTTTTTCATTCGGAAAGTCGATTTTCAGGTGAAATTAGATTCATTGCTGTAAAAAAAATGTGTTTGTTTATATTTTTTTCCTTTGTGGTATCTAAATCAGCTGTGATAATATGATAGATTTCCAATACTGACAAGTAGATGGCGCAAAATCATAATCGCACAGAGAGATTTAGCGTGGATCAGTTTCAAATCACTCCGATGAAGTGATTTTGAACTGTTATTTTTGAATGGCGAAATATTGATAAATTTATAAGATTAGTGGGATAAACCACTCAACAGCCGAAATCGTGAGATTAGGTGCCGTTCTGAACATGGTATAAAATTCAAATACAAAATAAATTTAGGTTACACCTTAGTTTCAGTAAAACGTAATTATTATGCTATTAAATTTGTATTTTTAACATAGCGCCATCTATTGAATACACACTCGATCCAGCCAACAGTTAACGTCATMCGTTAGGATATTTTGGAGCTAACGGATACTTGTGCCTGTCAAATAATAGACAAAGTCCTCAACAACGCTCAAAGCAGAGAGGCACGAGACAAGCGTGTTGAGAGAGCATTAAACTGCCAAATAATTTATGCACTGTTCTTTAGGAAATAAATGAATTAATTCAGATTATTTACCGAATGTACAGAGTAATTACTGAATTCATAACTCCCTCAGTGAGCGGTCCCTTTTGGCAGCCAAAAATGCTGATGTTGACGAAATTAACTTCCAAATACAACAGTTGTTACCAAGCGATATGATGTATTTTAAATCAATCGATACTGTTCTTAATGATAATGAAGGTGTAAGTTTTCCAATTGAGTTTTGAAATTCACTAGAAATACCCGAAATGCCACCATATAAACTTACATTTAAACATGGTTCACCTATTTTTCTCTTGCGTAATTTTAATCCACCTCCATTATGCAATGGTACGAGTTTCAAAAAGATCACCGGAAATATTCTTGAAGCAAACATATTATAATATCTGGAAAGTTTAAAGGTGAAGTGGTCCTGTTGCCACGTATTCCAATGATACTATCGGATTCTACGATACCCTTGAGGGGCTAACTACAATTTCCAGTTGGTTTAAATTTTGCAATGACGATAAGTAAATCTCAAGGCCAAATAATGTACATTTGTGGTATAGATTTGGAAAATCCATGTTATTCTTATGGGCAACAACATAGCATGTTCACATATAGGAAAACCGTTGAATCTATTTGTGTTATCTAAATACGGAATAACCAAAAATATTGTGTACCAATTAGTGCTAAATTAAAATTAATTTAAAAGTATTGATAATTCAAAATATTTAATATTATTCATAAAGATTTAAAACTATTTGTTAGAAATTGGAATTATTTTCTATTAACTTCTACCAAATTCAATAGTATGAAAATTTTGTTCAATCGCATTAAAATCCAGTGGATTCTTATACCAGCTTTAACGTTTCCGTCTTCGTTCGTACATAATAATTTCATTTTATTAAGTGGTAACTGTGACCTGAGTTTACAACAATGTAATATAACAAAAATTTAGCCACAGCAACGCGTGACAGGGTCTGCTAGTACCTTTATATATGCTTTAAACTATTAAATTTAATTTTAAGCATAAACTTGGTTATACATTATTTCGTTCACCAAGTCACTTCGCTTTTTTAGTGAAATTTAAACACGATTTTCTTATAGTGTAACGTGAACGGACGAGTTGACAGATTTAATGTTTCAGCAATCTCTGAAGTTGTTATTCGACAATTTGCATCGAACAATGACTTTATTTTATCCACATAATCTTCATGAGGACTTCCAGGACGTGTAAAATCCTCAAGATCAAAATTGCGCGAATGAAATTTGCAAACCAATTTTGGCATTGGCGTTCGGTCAACACATTTTCTCCGTACACATCGTACAATTTCGCCTTGTTTGTACTGCACTTCTTTACTTTCTTTTTTAGTGAAACAGTGAAATATGCCAAAATTTCTTTTCCGTCTTCCATTTTCGATAGGCCACCAAACAAGAACCGT